GTGTTTGCACGGGGCGCGCGGGGACGGGCGCCGCCTGCGCCGCCGTGGGCGCAGCTGCGGCGGCGGCGGCGGCAGCAGCATTGGGCGCCGTCGGCTGCGGCGCTGGGGCGGCCGCGGGGGCGGGGGTTGGCACAGGTGCAGCCGGCTGGGCGGCGGCGGCGGGCGCCGCGACTGGGGCGGTGGCGGCGACGGGCTGGGCGGCGGCGGCGGGGTTGTTCTGAGCTGGGGCGCTCACTGGCGCTGGCACCGGCGTCGGCGCTGCCACAGGTGCTGGCACTGGCACTGGCGCCGGCGCCGGCGCAGGGGTCGGCGCGGGCGCCGCAGCGGCAGGGGCCGGCGTCGCAACCGGGGCGACAGGCACGGGCTCGGTGGCGGGCGGCTCTGCTGCCGGGGCAACGTAGCCAGCCGGGGCCTCACTCGGGCCAATGATGACGTCACTCGCGGGCGCGTCTGCAGCGGGGGCCGACGCGTCCTCTGTAGCCTCGACCGCCTCCTCCCCCGCAGCCGCGTCGCCGCCCGCCGCGCCCTCCGCGCCGCCGGCCGCGGCGTCGCCGGCCGCCTCCTGGGTCGCCTCCCCGGCTTCCAGCTGCGGCTCTGCCTGCCCAGCTTCTGCGTTTTGGGCCTCGTTGTAACCCTGGCCAGCGAATTGGGGGTCGACGTCTTCTACGACGGCCTCGGCGCCGGCAGGGGCGGCGGCAGCTGGGGAGGCGTGGTAATCGTCCAGGGTGACCCAGCCGGTCGAGGAGGGGGCGGAGGGCGCGGCCGCGTCCCTGGCGGGCGCGGGCGCGGGCTGCGCGGCGGAGGGCGCCTTGAAGGTCGGGAGGGTGGGGGCGGCGGGCGCAGAGGAACTGGCGACGAACTGGCCGTCGGCGCCCGCGCCGCTGGTGTCGTCGGCGGGCGCCGCGGAGGCCACCGGGTCGGCTGCGGGCGCGTCGCTTTGAGGGACGGGGCCTACGCCGCGGCACGGGTTGTTTGCGGTGTCGGCCGTGCGCGTGGCGGGCGATTGCTATCTATGTCTTGCCGGCTTGTTGCGTATCGTCCTGCCTGTCAGTTTTGAGTGCAAAGCGACAAGTGTGCACTCGCTTCTGCTCCTTGCTCCATGTGCTGATATCAGGCACCCCGTTCATGTTCCATCCTTCATCCACTCACCCTGTGCAAACGCTGCCACTGTCAGCATGAGCAGCGCAAACATCACTGGCAAGCGCATCCGCCCCGCCATCGTGGACGCCATCGCGCGCACGCTGCAATTTGCAGTGCACATGAGGGTCGCGGGAGACTTCTTAGAACGTAATCGAGTACCTTTGTGTGGCTTAAACCGCGGAGCCAGGTGCACGCGGCCTCTAACCACCAAGGCGTGCAAGCAGCAGCAAGTACCGGGCCATCGGCGCGTACCTCAAGTTTTTAGCACTTAGACAAGACTAATACGGCGATTTATGCCCCAACAGGCTTTCGCCCTTCGCGGGCGGTCGAGCAGTTTCGTGCCTCCTGCGTCGAAGATTGCCCCGCGTTGTGACTCTATGAGGTCGGCGCGCGTGTGTTTTTGGAGTGAGCCTGATAAATACGGTAACCAAGAGGAACGTGCAACGTTAGCTGCTACCGAGGAAGGTCCAAGCACCATGCAGCTTCGGCGGGGTAGCTCCCAGTCATGCAGTCATGCATTCGAGCACACACAGAGGGGGCAGGGGCGCTGCCGGTCATTCCGGGCTTTGAAATCCTGTACACACGCTGTTGCGCAGGTGCACAGCCCTGTATACAACACTTGTAGTCAGACATTGTCGCAAGTGCTGGATCGCAACACCTTGCCCCAAAAGTCGTGCCTTGCTGTATGCTTCAAGAACACCATCTGTGGTAGAGCACGTCAGACTCCTCCTCAGGTTTGTGCCTGATTTTCCTGTGTGCCCTGGAGGTTGTGCGGGCCTGCATTTGCGACGTCTCAAGGCACCTGGATGACAGCCGGCTGTTGCCGCACAGCCTCAGGGCTGACGGACTGCAGGCTGGCCGCTGTAGATTTCAAAAAACATGGGCCCATGCGCGCACGCGCCTGCACGCGCCGACCCCGCCTCACGAGATCTTCATATCGGAACCATCATGAGCTCAGGGAAGCTGAACGGGTGTGCCAGGATCAGGTCCGGTGGCCGGCAGCCCGTCGTATCGCTGGCAATATCGGTGGCCGGGCGGCGCGTTCTTTGGCACTGGGCCTTGTGGGCCCCACCAGATAAGCATCGATATGCACAAAATAATGTATGGTGCTTTTATCCCTGTCATCAGGCACTTTTCTCATGAATGTTGCGGTGGCGCGCTGGCTGTGAAGGCCAGCAGGTTTGTGACCGGGCGCAGCAACAGCCGTCCATCCAGGGCAAATCAGACGCCCAGTCCAAGGGGTGGACCTGGAGCTATACTTTACCTTTCGATTCAATCCTTCTGCTCGATCTATTGCAGCGTCAGGCTGCACACAGTCGCGGGCTGCCCGAAGCACACCCGGGTCGTTGCCCTCTGCGGGTCCGTGCCTGGACATGAGGACGGGCAGTCCCCGCGAAACAATTTGTGAACACCTGATTGCCTGACGTTTACGCGAGGATGCAGCAACACTGGCAGGGCGACGCGGTGTGGCAGCGGCATGAGCCGCTGCAGCATCACCAGGACCACCGCGTGTGCGCGCCCGAGCCCGCCCACATAGATGGTCTCGCATACGAGCTGCAACGGATCAGCATGTGAGCTTGTCCGCCGCAAATCCACGTCCCCGTCCCCGAGACGGCTCAGCGGGCCCGGCGCTCCCGCGGCCCAGGGTTTGACCGCCGCGCCGCCGCCCCCGCGCGCACCTGAAACCACCGCCGTGGTCGCAGCTGCGCTGCACGGCTTTAAACCTCCCCGGGCCACCTCCGCCACCCCTTAACAACCTTCACCCTGGTGCGCCGCGCTCACGCACACGTCCCAAACCTCACCTTGCACCGCCGGCCCGCCGCGCCCCCTGTCTGCAGTTGCTGCGACGACCGCCTCCGGCGCCTCGAGGCGTGGCAGGCCTGCACCGACGCCGGCGCGGACGGCGTGTCCCAGGTGCTGCGCCAGTTCCAACTGCAGCTGGCCTCCCTGGGCGGGCGCGTGGCGGCGGTGGAGCAAGAGCTGCTGACCCTCCAGGTGAGGGCAGCGCAGCCTCAACGGGTACTGGAAGTCGAGGGGGCAATCGGACGCTGCGCATCTCGTTGCTGCCGCCTTGCTGCCCTTCAATTTCTTGCTTTGACCGATGCAGCGTTGGCTATGCATGTACATAGGATAGTCTGGAGTGCCTGCATGGCAGATGAAGCATTCCAAGACCACGACCCAGCCTAGGTGATAAAGCAAGACCTCGGCAGCGCGGGTCAGCAGCTGTCGCGCGCCGCGACGTGCCGCGGGACACGGCCCCCGAACCTAATGTCACCTTTCTCCCTGCTCCCGTAAACCCCCAGTCGGCCGGCGCCTGCTGCGGCGCGGCGCAGCCGCAGCCGCCGCGCCGCGTTTGGGGCGGCAACGGGGCCACTCTCATCTTAGAGCATGCCGACGGCCCCGAGCCGCGCCCCGGCTCGCCAGGCATCGCCCCCGGCAGCGACGCCGAGAGCGGCCCACCGCACCCGCCGCGGCAGCGATGGGCGTCGCCCACGCGGCGCCAGCCCGCCACGCTCTTTGCGGACGGGACGGGCGGTCCGACGATGCCGTTTCAGCAGGCCAATGGGGGTGTGGCCGGCGCCTGCGGTGCCGCGCGCTCGCCGGTGCGGTGGCGCAGCAACCCGTCCGCACTGTTTGCGAGCCACGAAGATGACGCCTTTTCTCGGCTGGCCTCAGGCGGCGTCGACGCGGCCGCGGACACCGCAGCGGGGGCGGCGGCGGCGGCGGCGGCGGGGCTTGAGGAGCGGCAGAGGGAGTGGGAAGAGCGGACGAGGGAGGAGCTGGCGAGGCAGCTGCAAGAGGAGCGGGAGGAGAGGGCGGCGCTGCAGAGGCAGCACGAGGAGACGGCGAGCAGGTGCGGCCAACGGGGGTCGGACGGGCGGGCAAGGGGGCCGCGGAGCGATGGCGGTGCCGTGCAGGCTGGTGCGCCAGCCGCGCGTGCGGCCGGGCCACTGACGGCGCGGCTCGTGCAGCCGGCGGCCCCACCTGGGAAGCCGCTTGTGTGACGCGTCACGGCCGGAAGCGGGGCTGCACGGCCGCCGCCCGTTGCCCGTCCCGTGCACTGATTTCAATCACTCTGTCGGCACCGCCCTACAGGATGGCGCGGCGGCTAGAGGACCTGGAGCGCCTCGTGGCCGGCCTGCGGCCGCCGGAAGCCGGCCAGTCAGCGGGGCAGGCGGCCGCCGGGCGCGAGCCCCCAGCCGCCGCGGCGGCAGCGGCCCCGGGGGCTGCCGCGGGCGACGTC